CCACTGAGCGACAACCAAATCCGAAGGACTCTCATCCCATCCCAATCCTTCAATCCACAACAACTGAATTAAACATTTAGCAACAATGACTACTGGAGCCAGAAAACCCAACGGGTCGTATATCTTAGCAATCTCCGACAGAATATTGCGCTTCATGCAAGATCTATTAATGGACTTTACGCAATACGAAAAACAATCTGACAAGGGCGACCACTGAAGGCCTAAAACCTTGATACCAGAGAACTCCCTGTCTTCAAAGGAAAATGGTTGGTGGTGTGAATTTGGCACACCAGAAAGTACCTGAGGACAATTGCTGCTCCATTTTCGCAGTTCAAATTCTCCCAAGGCTAATAAAGATACTAATTGTCGCTGGGCTTCCAAGGCACCCTCTACAGAATCTGCCATACCAATTGCATCATCCACATAACAAGAATTGGTAAGAATATCCACAGCCAATGGAAAGCTAGTCCCCTCATCCTTACAGAGCTGTAGCAATGTGCGAATGGCCAAATATGGGCTAGAAGATAATCCATAGGTCACTGTATTCAGCCTGAATTCCTGAACCGGTTGGGCAGGAGATGACCTCCACAAAATTCTCTGATAGTCTCTGAATTGCTCGCTCACCAAAATTTGGCGATACATTTGCCGAACATCGGCCGTGAAAACAATTTTGAAACGACGAAAAGACAACAAAATTGTAGCAATATCATTCTGGAGCTTTGGTCCTGTCAACAAAAGTTCGTTGAGTGACACACCGCTCGAAGTTTTGCAAGATGCATCAAACACCACCCGCAACTTATCACTGTCCGCCTTTATGACTCCGTGATGAGGGATGTAATATTTCTGATCAAGCGTTACATCACGAATGCTATCATTCACTACGGACATGTGTCCTTGATCAATGTAATCCTTCATAAATTCCTGGTACTTTTCACAGAGTATGGAATTTTTGCCAAGACGAGCTTCCAACAACTGAAATTGCCGCAAAGCTACATTCCTGGATTCTCCCAACAATACAGAACTGTCCTTGCGGAATGGGAGTGGTACCACATACCTTCCAGTTTCAGTGCGGGTACAATCTGCTTGGAACATAAGTTCACATAATTCATCCTCTGGGGACACGGACTTAGATTCGGGTACACATTCAATTTCCCAAAACCTTTTTAAAGTATCATCTAGCTCAGTTGCATGAGTTAACATGCTGTATACCTTCTGTAAAGGGGTATTTTGAATACTTCCCATGAGCACCCAACCAAACACGGTGTTCATGGCACAAGGGCCACCATTTCGACCTTTAATAAAACCCGGTTGCAGAATTTCACCAAACAAATCTGCACCCAGCAAGATATCAATCTCATTACTCCTTTCAAATTCAGACTCAGCAAGACACAACTTCTCGAGATATTTCCATCTTCGAAACGTACCGGAAACACAAGCAACTGTTTCACAAATATGGGGAATAACAAGAGCTAGGACCTCATAAGAAGGACACAATTTTTGGTATGGTCTCAAAACACACGACACGGTACCCAACGAAACACGGGTGGCCATTCGGTTGATGCCTTGAATATTAGTAGACGAAGATTGTCTCGAAAGACCCAATCGAGCAGCGCAGGAGTCAGTAACAAAACTCACTTGACTCGCCGAATCCAAAAGCACTCGACATTTCTGTGGAACCCCATTCTTATCTAACACTGATACACATGCAGTAGCAAACAAAATAGACTTGGAGAGTTTATCAGAAACATCCATAGTACTGGTCATGGCCTGTACTTCCCTCTCCTTGGCCCTTGGCTGGTTTCCCTGATCAGCCTCGCCGTCTCCTTCTGGCTGCGGCTTGTCCGGAAAATGCAACAAATTATGATGACGCCTGCCACATACACTACATTTGGAAGGCGAACGACAACCCGAGATCCCATGAGTTTTTCCAAGACAATTAAAACATAAGTGCTCTCGCTTAACAAATCCGAATTTTTCAAATACCTCGGCTTGCAGAAATAACTCGCCCCCAGATAAGGAATGGGCACTCCTTTTACAAAACTTACACACATTCTTCTGCGAAATCGTGGTGCTGAAATTAAGAGATCCCTTGGCTTTATCACTTGTTCCTAGTTTCGCCGATCCCTGCTCCCTGCGTCCCACAGTACCTACGGATCCAGAGGACAGACAGCTATTCTCTAATGCCTGACAATTTTTCTCTAAAAATGAATAAAGTTCCTTATAAGTGGGAATTTTACTCTGCTTAGGTTCCAATTCGAACAAAGTTTTAAGCGAAGGACTAACCTTTTGAAGCAATAAATCAAATTTTGTAAAATTCCACATATCATAATTAAATTGACCCAAGGCGGCCAGATTCTCAGAAAAAAGTGAAATCAAGTTACGCAACTCATGAGCAGAATCACCTTTTACAACAGGAGCTCTATAAAGGGAATACCAATAATCATTAACCAACACTCTATCATTTTGGTATCTCGCTACAAGGGCATCGTACGCAGTCTTATAATTAGCTTCAGTAATAGGGAAATTTTTAATTACAGTAGCCGCATCTTTTTCTAAATATGAAATCAAAAATTGAAAACGCTCAATGTCAGTCAGCGAACTATTATTATGGATGAGACCTTTATACAAATCGAAAAATGTAGGCCACTTTCTAATATTACCGTCAAATTTCGGAATTTCTATCCTAGGTAATTTTAGAGTGTCACTCTTTTGATTAGCACTTTGATTTACTGCTACCGTCGACACCCTTGCCGCTGCAGCCCTCTCTGCTTTAACAGAGAAACTGTCTGCAACAAGGTCGCGATGTATATTTCTTATGGAAAAGCACAACGCTTCAACATGAGCATGAACTTTGTCTTCCATATCAAATTCAGCATCACTACAAAGATTTACGATTTCAAGGTGCAGCTCCTCAAAGGCTGATTGAAGTCGATGGAGGTCCTCAAAAGCTGAACGAAAATCTGCCAAATATTTACTTTTGTTGCCTAATGCCTTTTGACCCATAGCACCCAATCTTTCTAGAGTCTTCATAACAGATTTTCGCTTTCTCTGGAGTCCGTCCATGACGAATAATCTTTCAAAATTAAAGAAAAAAAGAAACAAATTCGCCAATAAAGAACGAGCCTTTTTTGAAGCGCGGCTAATTATTGGCAATGTTAGCTAAATGAAAAAACTCAAATGCAAAAAAAAATCAAAAAATCCAATAGTGTTAATTTATGGTTCAAAATTTTTTTTTTTTGTTTACGATAAAGGCATCCACCAAATTATGCCTTCATGCTTCAAGGTACACAACGACTAATTATCTTTTGCACGATTCACCACAATATGAATTTTGAAAATTGAAAAAACAATATCACTTATTCAAGCAATGTAATTAGGTAGGTAATAAATAATAATCCAAATATTATTTTGACCCAAAAGAAATTTGAAATTTGAACAAAAACAAATAATTTTATATGATCTATTCTCTATTTTGCATTTATTTGAATATCTAAACAAACAATGAAAATAGTTGAAATCTACACCTATCCAGCAAAAAACTAGAAACCCGTATAGTCCCAATAAATTCTTTAACTTTTATACCAAACAAGTTCCAAAACACCAAAAAAGGTCTTGGAATTTACTTGGACTTTATACTCAAGCCGGTGATTGTTGCAACCAGAAACCAAAAATAAGTCATTCTTTATAATTTCAATAATTTTAATATGCACTGTATATCCCAAGGACTTTCCATCTAGGGTCGAAGGATCAAATGTTTAGGACCAGCCTGTTTTAATAGAAACAGGCAAACTTAATTTTTGAAATAAGTTGAAAATAAGAAAAAACGACTCACGATAAAGATTTAAAAAAATGGGTATTGGTAAGGTCTCACCTCTGTGTCCTGGATTCTAGCTTACCCGGCCGGGGTTTCTTGATGCTCCCAAAAATGAGCTTCCGGATAATATTATTGAGCGAAAGTACATCCGATAACCGAAATCATTGAGATCGATTGTTCTCAACGTGTCACCAAAAAACGCGGATGTAAAATACCGTGACGCTCGTCGACTGGAGCTGTACTTTTTAACACTGTCGTAGGTTTCGTATCTCTATCGTGAGGTATAGCGCGCAAAATCCCACAAAAAGGTATATGTTTATAAAAACTCAACGCTCGATTCTTGACTCTGTGATGGAGTCCTATTAATATCGATAAATAAGAATTACCCAATTCTGAACACACATTTATAAAGGTAAACCGGCACTGAATGAGATCTCAAATAAAGTCTTCTGGTGAAGACGGACTGTCAGCTTCCAGACAATAACTTTGAAACTCTTTCAGAAGCTAAAATGATTCCTGAACTAGGGGAGTCTATCCATCATATTTAAAAAAAGGTTCGGTAATACACACAAGAGGAGAGAGTTGAACGAGCCCAGCAGTTTTAGATCTATTTCCCTGCTTTTCACATTATCTAAGGTCATCGAAAATTGAAAAGATAGTGAAGAAAAGGTTTTGAGACTACCTGAAAAGTTCTAGTCTTATTTGTTGCAACCAGTTGCCATTTTAAGCTCCTGATTGCACGTTTTTGCAGAACAAAAAATGGATGCACAGAAGTCTGAGTGAACCCCAAAACGAAATGCCATCATATCTTGTGATATCCATCACAATGCCCATCAGGCAAGCGATTTGTTTTTGCCAATCTCAAAAACGCAACTGACATCATTTAAAAAAACGCTTAATTGCTTTGTTAATGGCCATTTTAGTAATTCTTTTAAAAAAATGAGAAGAATGAGATATTTATACTTATAAATGTGTTGGGGACTCAATATTTTTTGAGAGGCAAAAAAAATAGTACGCATATAGGTATTCTATCACAGACTCTCAAAAAACTTTAGCACTCAGAAAAAATGTTTTTTTTTAAATTTTATTCCTTAATCCCATCCCAAGAGTTTAGGATAGAAACAAAGCCAGCTAAAATATTTATGTTTAGTTCAGTTCAAATACATAATCTATTTCCTTTTTCTAGCCCGCCCACGTGAAAGCCTGTTTCCTAGGCTCATCTTTAACCATTCCAATAACCGAGGGCAAACTAAATCTCGGAACCTGGCAGGGCGTTTGGCTGTGCGAGCACCGAGACCACGCCGGGTCTCGCAAACTCCTCGTCACCCTCAACGGCTGTCTGAGGAGCGGAGCAGAAGCCAACTGCACTCCTCTTAGTCCCGTCAGTCCCATGGCGAGTACCAGCAGTTAGGGAAAGCACTCGGGCCATTCTCTGTCCAAGCACTGAGAATGTGACCCGAGTTTAGTAATTGTTACAGGGTGTTTGAAAATTTTCTTGCCCAATTATTATTGTATTTATACTTGTTTTATTCACCTGGTTGGAATATTTAACAGAACAAACCCATCTATTTTTTTTTTCTTATTTCTTTACAATAATTAATTTGATTTAATAAAATATCAACTAAAATAATTATTGTTGGACAATTCCGGCTGATTTTTAGACACCCTGTATCATTGGTCTAATATATTTAAAAAAAATGGACTAAAACCAAATATACCTAACGACAATATGTACATAGGTGTACATTGTAATATAACATTATTATTATGTAATAATAGGTATTGTATTTTTTTATTTTTTGGTTATAGGATTGTAGATAATAATAATTATTGTTTAAAGAAAGAAAAGTGGTGGCTGTGTACTTTTAATAATAATTGAGAAAATGGAAGAAGCAAAAATTTGGGTTAGTTTTTTCAATAAATGGGTACATTTTGTTTCTTCCAGTTTCGTTATTATTCAAGGAGGCAAATTGTTGTTGTTTTTTGTACACAGAACAGTTGGTTTCTTTTTCGTAAATTTTTCCCATTTTTCCTAAATATTTACAAATTGCAATTTTTTTTTAGGCAAAAACAATGCAGCATTTTCCAAAAATAATTGTTAGTATGCCCACAGGACTTTTAGTACAAATATTTTTGAAATAAGAATTAGTTTAGAGAAAACAAATCTGAATTGAGTGAGAAGTTGAAAAACTCTTAGTAGAGAAAAAGATGCACTCTGTCACATTTTAATTTTTTTTCTGAATAATGAGCAACATTGGAAAATACTGGAAAATCAACTTTCAAAATCTAAATTAAACAAAATGCACCCTCTTACATTGTGACGTTTTTCTAAAAAACTAATGAGATGAAAATGTTGAAACTTTTGGAGTAAAAAGACAAGAATTGAAAACTCATCATATTGAAATTTTAAATTTTTCCAGTGAAAAACCACAACATGAGAAATTCTTGATTAAATTAAATACCGTCTAAAAATATTTGTACAAAATCAAAGCCCTTTATAACGCAATAATAATAAACTACTTTATGCTGAAATAATTTCTAGTATAAAGCCAAAACACACGAAAATTTATCTAACTTAAATAGCTAGCAGCCTTTTAAATATGTAATAACTTGTACATAACGTCATTACGGGTTGTAAATTGTATAGGGCGTTTTTGTTTATATGCGGGATTGATGTATCTGTCTGTCTTCCTTTTTAATTATTTATGAATTTTATATACCTTTTGATAATCCAGACTCAAAGATTTTGTCTGGCTTATAGAGGTAAATTATTTTAATTTTAACAAGAACAGGGTATAATTAATGCTTTTCTTTTTTTTCATAAACATGTAGATAATTTTTTAATGAAGATCACATCACATTATTATCTCAATTTATTTTATATTATTCATTATTAGTCTAGTAAGTGGCACATTATGTCACTAGACTCCAGTCAAAATATTTAACAAGAAATCCATTTAATATTGTAACAAAAGACATCTTGTTAAGTTATTATTATATAAGTCACCTCCAGGATTTGTAATTGTTATAAGATCTTCAAACCTTCATATATTTTTCTTTACAACTGTCATATTTGGTCTTTTGAGGACAGATAAATACTTTATCACACCTGTATAGTATAATATTGAGTATAGGTCACTGCCACTATTGCAAGAAAAAAATAAATTGTAAATATAGTTTTTTTTTTTAGATTAGTTTGTTTTTGATTTGTTTGTTCTGCTCACAGATTGCGTACGGAGCGTCGATTTTGTTGTGTCCTCTTTTTTAATAAAAAAAATCGAATTTTTATCTTGGTTTTTTTTAATTTTTTCAAAATGATTCATTTTGTAGGAAATCGGCGAAAAAAGAGTCCGTTCAATGTAGTGGTGAGTGTCACCGGTATTTCTCCATGTGGAAGCTACTATAGTACTATATGTATAAAGAAGTAGATAAAATTCATTGCTATATACCAAACCATAATATCTGACAAAGGACAACAATTTCTATTAAAATCTTATCAGGGAAATGAAACAAGATATTTTCAATTTGTCATTTATTTTCATGGGCAATGCTCAGCTTGGGACAAATAGATCAATTTCGAAACAAACTGACATGCATGACAGAAAAGTGGCTACTCCAGTTGAAGTTAAAACACCCCCACCTTCTTAGACCATTACAAAAGAAGATTGACGTTACGTGATATCAGGGCCGTGCCGTGCTATGAGGCGAAGAGGCGGCTGCCTCAGGCGGCACAATATGGGGCGGCATAAATCCAAAGGAAATAAGGAATTTTTTTTCCAGAGTTTACTAAAATCCTAGACTGACATCAATTAAAAAATGTCTGACGAATTGGATTAAAACTAATCCAAAATAATTAAATTCAATCTTAAAATTAAGGACATCTAGGGAAAACCTATACGACCTAGCGCAATTTTTTAATTCGCCATAATGTAAAGATAAATTTATTGCGTTCATTATCGCGCTCGCAAATACCGTTGATTGCAAATACCAGCCCTGGCTGTCGTCTTGCCTATCTGAATTCTGGCAAAAAATGGCGAATGTTGGGTTATGGATGGGTCCGCCTGTATTCTAGTGCGCGCTATTCTAGCGGTCAAAACTGCAAAAGCAAGTAGGTGAATGTTGTGCGAGTTGCGTCAGTTGCGCCGTATCGTATTGCAGTGCTGTGAGTCATGACACTCGTGACTGTCTGTGGATTACTATTAAATCAGAAGTATTTTCCTATTTTTGCATCTTTACTCAATCAACAACTTTTTGTGATACAAGAAAAGTAGATTAGGTAAGGGAAACTGTTAATTTTTTCTTGAATTTTAGTGATTATTCATTTCTTAATGTTTTAATAATTAGTGTCAGTATGGACAAGAAAAGGAAAAAGTTATCAGGAAGTCAATATAAAAACAAACGCTTATTGAAAAAAGCAGAGGAAAGAAAGTTAAGCTATGCTTTGAAAGGATTTTTAACACAAAAATCCAATCAAGATGAGCCGCTTGGTGAGCCTTCTAGCCATTCTACATCCTCTTTGGCGACTTTGGATTTGATAGATGACAATGAAAATTCAGTGGTCTTTGAATCGGGAGAAATTGATGAAGAAAGCTTAGGTAGCGAGGAAACGTCATCAGAAATTCATAATGTACCATCCACACCCGACCCGAAACAACCGGGCAGTAGAGACCGTGGCACTCGTGACAGTGAACAAAGTTTAAATAAAGTGTCTGCTGATCCTGCCTTATGGAATGTTGCCTGCATGGAATCGAAAATCCGTCAAATACTTGTTGAGAGGGGACCATATCAAATTAAAGAAATCGAATTTCCTCTTAATAAAGACAGGCGAAGATTTTCACCCTCGCTTTATTTGAAAGTATTAAGCAATGGAGAATCAGTTGAGAGAAGCTGGTTAATGTATTCTGTAAAAAATGATGCGGTTTTCTGTTTTTGTTGTATCCTATTCGATAATTCGTCTTCAGTTAGTGACTGGCCCAAAAAAGGCTATTCTGATTGGAAAAATATCACAAGAGCACTTACAATGCATGAAAGATCTGCAAAGCATAGAAATGCTTTCAAAGCATGGAAAGAACTAGACATTCGTTTAAAACAGAAAAAAACTATTGACGCTGAATACCAACGAATTTTGGATCTGGAAACTCAGCACTGGAGAGGGGTTCTTAAAAGAATTATGGCAATAGTAAGGCTATTGGCTTCGCAATGTTTGGTTTTACGTGGAACAACTGAACATTTGTTTGAACCAAATAATGGAAATTTTTTAAAGTTGGTAGAACTTCTTGCTGAGTTTGATCCAGTTATGGAAGAACATCTCCGACGAGTTCAACGCGAGTCTGATAAATGGTCTGTGACTTATCTCAGCAATAATATACAGGATGAGTTGATAAACTTGATGGGAAATAAAATTTTAAAAGAAATTGTGGAAATCGCAAAAAATGCAAAATATTTTTCTATAATTGCTGATTGTATCCCAGACGTAAGTCATATTGAACAGCTCTCACTAACAGTAAGGGTAGTCGCTTTTAACTCTAATGATAATAAATATAGAATTGAAGAATTCTTTATTGGATTTTTTTAAGCTAGTGATTCAACAGGAGAAGGACTGGCACAGCTAATTCTGACACAATTGGAGAAGTTAGGTTTTGAGTTGAAATGGCTTAGAGCTTAGAGGACAAGGCTATGATAACGGGGCCAATATGAAAGGAGTACGAAAGGGCGTACAAAATAGAATAATTGAGAAATATCCAAGGGCATTTTATGTGCCATGTGCCTGTCATTCATTAAATCTTGTTGTGAATGACACAGCGTCTTCTACAGAAACAGCAAGTTTTTTCTCCCTTGTACAAGAACTTTACACATTTTTTTCTGGCTCCACAAAGCGTTGGGAGGTGCTGATAAAACATGTTTCACAATTAACTCTGAAACCATTGAGTGCTACTAGGTGGTCAAGCAGAATAGATGCTTTAAAGCCTCTACGATATCAGCTTTGCGAAATCTATGACGCATTATTTGAAATTATAGAAGACGCGAACAGAGATGCAGAAACTAAAGTTAAAGCGCAAGGGTTAGCAAAAAACATAAAAAACTACAAGTTTATATGCAGTGTTATTCTCTGGCACGATATTTTATTTGAAATAAATGCAGTTTCGAAGCTACTGCAATCTGTTACCATAAATTTGTCAGATTGTGTAAGGATGCTATCAGAAGCCATACAAAAACTGAAAACGTATAGGCAGTTTGGATATGAACAGATGAAAATTGCTGCTAACGATATCGCAGGGGATCTTGAATGCACCATAGAGTTTCCGATTGAAACTGAAGTTAGAGCTAGAAGGAAGAAACGTCAATTTGATTGCGAAGCAGTCGATGAACCCTTAACAGAGGAGAAAAAATTTAAAGTAAACTTTTTTAATTATACTCTTGACATTACTCTTAATTCTCTGACTGAACGATTCTCGCTTTTGGAAACCCATAGTAATAACTTTCAGTTTTTATATGATATTCTGAAACTTAGAAATATAGATGACAAACTATTTTACGAATCTCCAGTCAACACTTTCTGTCGATAATGATTCAGACTTAAGTGCAGCTGATCTTCAAAAAGAATTACATGATGTATCTCGAATACTACCATCATCTATGAAAGCTTTTGATATTTTAAACTATTTGTGTGAAAATAATTTAACTACTTTATATCCGAATACAATTATAGCTCTGAGGATTTTATTAACCCTCCCTGTCTCCGTAGCCAGCGGAGAAAGGAGCTTTTCTAAAATAAAATTAATAAAAAATTATCAATAGTAATATAACTAGTGCAATGGAAATTATTGATAATTTTTGGGAAATTTGCCCGAATGCATTTTTAGTTGAAAAAGAGCACAAGTGCACGTAGTGCACGAGTGCCTTTTTCAGTTAAAAACGCATGAGTGCAAATTTGTCGAAAATTATAAATATATTTCCATTGCACGAGTTGTATTTAATGAGAGAATTTCATAAATCAAAAATTTAAATTTTTTGTCAAAAAATGTCAAAACACCAGTTCTCGCACCAGTTACTATGCAATTATCTGATAATTTGCACTAGTGCAAATTATCACGTAATTGCAATCTGATTGGTTCAAATCAACAATCAAAACATGTCAGTTCATTGTTGGAATACCAGTTTTGACTCTAAGAAATTCATTATGCCAAACAAAGCTTAAAAATTTATCAACCAGAAATATCGAATATGAAAGTTGTAGGTAATATCAAAAAGTTTTCAATGATGTTAGTTACAAGTATACAGGGTGTGTCACAAAAGTGTGGCGAAGCAAAGTAATATTTTTTTAAGTGGAAATCCCCATATATTATTGTCCCATTGGATTAGCCTTTCAAACCTGATTCCAAATATACTAAGTTTTTTAGGTTTATTCCTAATCCGGTGTTTAAGCATAGTTGAATTTAACTACATATTTTCATTGCACTGTTCGATTTATGCAATCAAAATAAACCCTTCAATGAAAAAATAAGTACCTAAACGACACAGTTAAAAAAGCAAAAAATAATAAAATTTGATATCATTAGCCACCAATTCAAACGGAGGCCAAAAAATTATGACGTCACCGCCCGCCAGTGCAGAGAAACATCAACAGATGGCGCCACTGAAGGATCTTTTTTTTGTTATCAAATATAATAGTCCGATAGATGGCGCTAGGAGATCACTGTACTTACAGTGACTGAATAAGCCTTTACAAAGTATGTTTGTTTGTAAGGCCTGGGGATCATTTTACAGAATCCGGATCAGTCTGTACAAGTCTGGATAAGGTCTGGATAAATCTGGATAAAGTCTGTAAAAATCTGGATAAGCCTGGATATTGTCTGGAAATCTCTGGAAACGTCTGGAAAAGAGTTGGGAATTTTTGGGAAAAGTCGGAAAAATTCTGGAAAAGGTCCCAATCCAATAGACCTAGGGATCATTTTGCAGAATCCGAATCAGTCTGAACAATTCTGGATAAATCTGGATGAAGTCTGGAATACTTTGGAAAGATCTGGAAAAGTATGGAAATCTTCGGAAACGTCTGGAAAAAGCCTGGAAACTTCTTGAAAGGGTCGGAGAAATTCTGGAAAAGGTCCCAAAAGCCTGGGGATCATTTTCTAGAATCCGGAGCAGTCTGTACAAGTCTAAATAAGGTCTGGATAAATCTGGATGAAGTCTGTAAAACTCTGGATAAGTCTGGATATTGTCTGGAAAAGTCTTGAAATCTCTGGAAACGTCTAGAAAAGGCCTGGAAACTTCTTGAAAGGGTCGGAAAA